AACCAACTCTTTTTCTAAATCAATGACCTTAGGAGATTTGATCCAATTTTGAGTACAAATCAAAGCTTCAACGGTAGAGGGATTCAAGGAACTACGAAATGAATCAAGGACACGACCTCCTGTACTAAAAGCGGATTCAGAAGATACAGTGGATACAGGGATAGCCAATATATCTCTAGTTATGCGGGAAAGCACATGATATTTATTTGTTTTTCCTTTCTACCAAGTGAGAATATTAAATGTAGGAGAATCATCTTCAACACCATCTTCCAAATACCTTTCCAACTCATTTTTTTGCACTTCACATTGTTTTTTCTTCATATTCATTCTAAACAAATTGTCCCAATCTTCATCATCTTCACCATTTTCAATTCTAGAATGAGAGGCAATGTTTGAAGATGAGGCATTGGAACCACCATCATGAGAAACAAGATACAAAAATAAATAGTGCTCAAACAATTTAGCAATGAGAGATTTCAATTTCTTTAACATATCCTCTGACAATTTTTCACCATACATCCGAGTAAAACAAAATTCAATATAGTCAAGCTTATAACGAGGATCAAGATAAATAGCAACAAAGAGAAGATAATTTATTGTATTGCTTTCCCAATACTTGTTGTACTTCAATTGCATATTTGCTGTCATGGTTTTCAAAATTGGATCACTAACATTGTGCCTCCATTTATTCAACGTTTTTTTAATATCCATCAACTTTTTGAAAAAAGAGTTAGCAGTAACATGCAATGACCCAGAAAAAGAAAGTGTGGCATCATAAAAAAGTTTTCAAAAATTTCACAAAAATACGAGCTCGTTCCCAATCAGCTCGATTAGGACATCCTTTCGACTCAATACGGAGATTAGTTAAAAATGCAACATCAGCATGTTCTAAGCGGTAAAATGCATGTTCATACTTTTCAGCGATGTTCAACATTAAATAAGTAGAGTTCCATCTGGTTTCTACATCTAGTGTTACCAATGCTTTAGAACATACACCAACAGCTTCTGCACACTTCTTGAAAGTAGCCAACCTACTAGGAGAAGCCTTGACAAACTTACATGCAGCCCTAATTCTTTTAATAGATTCATCAATATCCTTTATTCCTTCTTTGACAATCAAGTTTAATATGTGAACACTACATCTCATATGCAAGTACTCCCCATTAAACAAAGTACGACCATTCCAAAAACTCATGCCTCGATTTAAATAATCAATTGCCAAATTGTTAGCACTTGCATTATCAACAGTCACACAACATATAGACTTGATACCCCATTCCTTCATGCAATTCTCTAATGTTATCCCTATAGTTTCACCTTTATGGTCAGCAATTATACCAAAGCTTAATATACTCTTCTTTAAATTCCACTCGTCATCAATATAGTGAGCTGTAACACACATATAATTCATATTCTGAATCGATGTCCAAGTATCAGTGGTAAGAGACACCATTTGTTTATTAGCAGACAACATAGATTTCAATTTTTCTTTCTCATCGAAGTACAAGCATAAACAATCTCTGGCAACAGTGACACGAGATGGAATTTTGAATCTTGGTTGAGCCTCTTTCATGAACATATTAAATCCTTCATTTTCAACATATTTAAAAGGGAGCTCTTGACACGAGATGGAATTTTGAATCTTGGTTGAGCCTCTTTCATGAACATATTAAATCCTTCATTTTCAACATATTTAAAAGGGAGCTCATCAATGATTATCATCTTTGCAAGTGTTAATCTAGTCCTCTCTTGATTAAAATCAACAAGTTTCAAGCTAACACTATTAGGATCATCCTCACTTTCTTTTCCAATAGCTATAGTTTTTTGTTTCTTATCAACTACCCTATTTGGATTTTTCAGGCACACTTTCAAATGTTTATGCATGTTAGTAGTGCCATGACTACCACTATTTGCAGCATATTGTTTACCACAATACTTACATATAGCCTTATCATTAACCCTTTTAAAATCTTTCCAAACTGTAGAAGATTTTCTAGAGGGTTTTCTTTTGCTTACCTCTATTAGTGCACTTGGTGGCAATGATGACAACCCTTCTCCTTGTATTTGTTAAACTTCTTGCTCTTGTTCAAGTGGATGAGCAACATCTTCACTGACAATTTGTGATTGTTCCACTTCCATTTTCTATAAAAAAACAATTTTTAATATAAATTATTATTAAAACAACATTAAACAAAATATATTTAAATTAATAATATGAAACAGAACAGGACTTTGCATCAAAATATATTTTCATCATATGAAACAAAATAGTACTTTGCATCATATGAAACAAAATAGTACATTACATTGAACCTATCATCATATTTTGCATTGATATAAAACTATTGAAGTACATACTGTAAAAATAATATATTGCATTGAAATAAATATATTGTAGAACTATAAAAAGTATAAAACCTTATTCAATATGGAGACGAAACTATGAGAGAGTCAAAGTATAGACTGTGGATTTTCGAAAGCAAGATGAAATTGGAATGTGAAAGAGTAAAATGAAAAAAAAAATCGTGAGAGAAAGAGGAGTGGTGACGTTTGAGATTTGCCGTAGTAAAAAAATAGGGTTAGGTTAAGTGGTATTGTCTTTAGTTTAGTAAGTTTCTAATATATACTTAATTATTATTAGTTAATAAAGATTCATTAAAAAAATAAAAAGGCAGTAAAGTGTAAACTAGAAGTGCATAAGTCAAGCAAGCATGATTAATATTAATAATAATGTTTAATTATAATAATAATAATAATTTAATGTGTGATTGGAAACTGGAAGGAAAGTGCAAAAGACCTTTGTGTACGTTACAATTTACAAAGTTATAGCAACTTTAAAATTTATAATTAATAATATAATAATAATAATAATAATAATAATTAATTATGCCACGTCAACGGGTTGGGTCAACGGGTTCATGGGTTTAGAAACTAAAACCCAATACCCGAACCAAATCTATACGGGTTGTTACGGGTTGGGTCGGGTATACCCGTAAATGAATGGGTCCGGGTAATTAGTGAGTTGGTTCGGTTTGGGTAGGCGGGTTTGCGGGTCGACCCGCACCCATGAACACCCCTAATTCCAAGTTGACAAGAAACGCAAGGCAGTGCAATTTGAGGTGGGTGATTGGGTTTTCCTCAAATTACGTCCTCATCGACAACAATCGGTTGTGCAAAGAATCCATCAAAAACTGGCCCCTAGATTTTTCGGTCCGTATCAAATCCTAAAGAAGATAGGGCAGGTTGCTTATAAGTTGAAGTTACCACCAACATCTAAAATACATCCTACCTTTCATGTGTCGCAATTGAAGAAAGCGGTGGGCAACTATACTGCTACAATTCAGCTAGCTATCAGTTTAGAGTCAGAAAAAGGGGACATTACTCCGGCTAAGGTTGTGTCATGGAGGGACAAATTTGATGGTGGACAACATAAGAGAGAATGGTTGATTCAATGGGAAGGGATGGATGTTGGAGATGCTACCTGGGAAGAGGAACTGTTGCTGAAGAGTCAATTCCCTGATCTGCGCCTTGAGGACAAGGCTAATGTTGTAGGTGGGGGTGATGATAGGAATGAATCGGATCCCACAAATGTTGATGGGAATGTGTTAGTTAATAGAGATATTATTGGACCTAAACAATGGAGGGTATATGTGAGAAAGAATAGGAAACTCCACAAATAAATAGGAGTTAGTTTAGGTATTATTCTCCATATAAATAGGAGTTAGTTTAGAGATTATTCTCCATATAAAAAGGAGTGTATGGGGCAGTAGTTAGGCATGGATTGATTTTCTGTTTTTGATATTAGGATTTGGGCAGTGAGAGAATTGTTTCTCTGACTGAGGAGCAGTAGCTCTGGAATTTATTTTACTTTCACATTCATTAATAAAATACTTTTCTTTATCATATTATATCATACCTCTGTTCTATCATTGTCAGTGATCCCTCAGATTTGCATCTACACGTTAGTACATCTACAATCTTTTTCCGCCTTGTCCAAATCTTCTCTTGCGTCCTTCTTACCGTCATCATCATCATTATTGTCGTCGTCGACTTTCATCTGGTCCAGTCTTCGTTTGGGCACAAATGGACAAGTAATTCTTTAATTAATAGAATAATCTCATCATATATATAAATCTATTTGTCGAATATTCTCTCTTGCAAATTAAGGTAAGTAGGTCATTGACTATTTATTAGAGATCGAACTGATAAAATTTGGATATTGGAAGGTAGAGAAAATAGTTAATTTACGAGATTTCACGACCTTTTTTCAGCTGTTTCCGAGGACACATTAAATTTGATTTTGCCTTGGTAATGACTTTTTGCACTAGTACCGTTTACATATATATTGTAAACCTCTACAGATATGAAGTCTGGTTATTAGTAATTACCTGTAAATTTTGTGGGTATGACTACTTTAGTTCCCAACTCTATTCATAACCGCAAAATATGTACTTTTTGTTTTATATTAAAAATTTGATTTCTTTTTTGAAGATTTTGTAATTAAATCAAGTAGTTCTGTTTTTAATGTTTTGTAGTTGGGAATTGGATGATGTTTGTATATTTTTCAATTGATAAATCATTTTAGTGAATCCTCTTTTTTCTGTTAATTTTTAATTGTTAACGTTAGTAGTACGTTTCATACATGTTTTACCTGATTGTCGATCAAATGCATTATGGTAGACTAAGTCTCTACGTGAGTATGGAGACAAATACTTTCGTACCTTACCAATTTGCGTGAGTATGGAGACAAATACTTTCGTACCTTACCAATTTGCATTCTTACTTAAACTTAATAAACCACTCCACTACTTACGTACAAATACTTCAAAACTTTGATACAAAGAAGCTGTTGTATGTGTATACCTTTTGCTGTAAAACTTAATAAACCACTCTACGAGCATGTGTATACCTTTTGCTGTAGGTAGAATTAAAAAGAAGCTGTTGTCACTTGCTTGTTGACATTATTATAATTAACATATCTTTTGGCTGTCAGGTTTTTGATGGTTGGAAACATCAGGAGGACCGTCCAATCTATTCTTAGGATCCATAGAAGCAGATATCTGGGAGTGAGTAGAGATGGAGCTTTGGTCTCAGTTGCACCTAATATCAACCAATGCAGGGTGTATATGCAATATAAGTTTCTTAGTGAAAGATGTAGTTCATTCATGTGGCGAGGAACTAAAGAAAGTTTTCATAAAGGCCATTCATTTTGGAACTTATCTGCAATATCAACAAAAAATATAGCATCACATAATCCTCAAACTTGGAAGTTGCTGTACAAAATATATTCCTCCAATGGTTCTAATGGATTTACCTCCATAAATATGGTTGCTCAAGCAGTGAGTCTGGCTTTGTCTCGTTCTTGTTTTCTGATTCCTAGTATTTTTGCGTTTGCATGTGGAGAGCTAGCATTGGCTCAGCAAAATCAGTCAGATGCAGGGTGTTACCCTTCACAAAATGCTTTGTCTATGCATGCACAAGATGGATACAATTACATGTTTGCATTTGTATTCACTGTGGTAGAAAGCCTGGTCTTGTTAACAAGAGCTATATATCTAACAATATTATTCTCTCCAAGCATTCTAATGGCACCACTTGCTGAATATTTTGGACCAGAGTTCAGGAAAATGTGGCTCCGAATTGTTCATCGCGCACTAGAAAGAGCAGGTCCAGCGTTCATAAAATGGGGTCAGTGGGCTGCTACACGGCCTGATCTATTTCCTCAAGATCTATGCACTAAGCTTGCAGAACTTCATTCGAAAGCACCCGAGCACAGTTTTAGCTACACAAAGAAAACTATAGAAAAAGCATTTGGCCGTAAAATTTCTGAAATTTTTGAGAATTTTGAAGAGTTGCCTGTTGCATCCGGAAGTATTGCCCAAGTGTATCGTGCTTCTTTAAAATATCGTTACCCTGGTCAGCAAACAAAGCCCATGGTAGTTGCAGTGAAGGTCAGACATCCTGGCGTGGAAGAATCTATTAGAAGAGATTTTGCTATTATCAATTTTGTGGCAAAATCTTCAAACTTCATCCCTGCACTTAATTGGTTAAGGTTGGATGAAAGTGTTCAGCAGTTTGCAGTTTTCATGATGTCCCAAGTTGACCTTGCAAGGGAAGCTGCTCATTTGAACCGCTTTATTTACAATTTCCGTCAATGGAGGGATGTGTCTTTCCCTAAGCCTGTTTATCCTCTTGTGCATCCTGCAGTTTTAGTGGAAACATATGAGAATGGAGAAAGTGTCTCACATTATGTTGATGAGCTTCAAGGACACGAACGGATTAAAAGTGCTCTTGCTCATATTGGTAGTCATGCACTTTTAAAGATGCTTCTGGTAACACATTATCCATTTACAGTTTTCTTTTTTGGTTAGAGATATTTTGTGGTTGGTGATCTAACTGTTTTTTAAAGATTTTATTTTAGCATTCTGTGTTTTATATATCATCAAGGGAAAATCATGAATACTAAAGTGCCTTGAGATGAAGTTATTATAGAATAGATAGAGTGTGAGAGCTATTTTCAGTAGCCGCAGAGCCAAGACCCTAGATTTAGATGTTCACGTATTCATTTTTTCCAACTTAATCAAGTTTGTTTGATCAACAAATGCACTACTGAAACTTTAAGTGATGAAAATGTAAGTACTGATTTGTAATGTCTTATATATGTCAGGTACAAAATATAAAATACAATCATGGTTGTTATTACTGACAAGACTTATATTTTATGTTTGCCATATACATTCTTCCATAGTATGAATTGGACTGTCAAAGGTTATTTAAGTTGTGTGTCATACTGTGCTTGTATTTTATAAAAAAATTAGACTGTTAGTTCTGTCACCAATGGAAGAATGTATTATTGTACTACTTGTTAGATTTAATCCTTTGCGGGCCCTAACCGAATAACTTATGTTTACGAAAGAGTTGGTCCTTGACATGGTATTAGAGCTTTTCTGACCAAGAGTTTTTTCAACTTCAATCTTGTAAATAAAAAATTAAACTTTAGCCTAAGGTGAAATTGGTCTATTGACTTTTCATATTTTAAGCCCGAAAAGTGCTCATGCATGAGTGAATGTCCTAGATGTAAAATCACTCACAAACATTCAAGTAACAACTTATGTCAGTAGGATTGGTTCTTGACAGCATTCATTTCTCTTGTATTTCATAATTTTTCTTTCACACAAAACCTTTGTGGGGACCTTTTGATGCCTTTAAACTTGAATGTCATACAGTTTTATAACTTCCAAGACACTGACATGTCTTCTTTCAGGTGGACAACTTCATTCATGCAGACATGCATCCTGGAAATATCCTTGTTCGAGTGCCTCGGAGCAAGGATCGCAAACGGTTCTTCAAATCAAAGCCTCATGTAATTTTCCTTGACGTAGGTATGACTGCTGAGCTCTCTGGTAGCGATCGAGTAAATTTATTGGAGTTTTTCAAAGCTGTTGCCCGCAGAGATGGTCGAACTGCTGCTGAGTGCACACTCAGGTTGTCAAAGGAACAGAACTGCCCTAATCCGAAGGCTTATGTTGAGGTAATTTGTTTAGCTACAACTTTTTCTAGGTGGGAATTATATTGTATATTGATTTATGTTTCTGTGTATGAGCATTACATGAAGGTACACAATTTATTTTGTCAATTTTATATATATTGAAAGTTTAGCATATACAATCATAATTGATTATCAGGATTAAGTTTTTAAAAAATTAATCACTAAGTTCTTGTCTTCTTGGCCATCTATTACTATGCGTGGAACCATGTGAGATACTCACCTACTCAACAGCCTGTATTTGTAGTTTCATAAAAGTTTTGTCGAAAATGTATTGGGATGCGAGGATTTGTGACCCACATTTCCAAATAATACTATTTGTGATTGTATGGTCGATTAATTCCTCACCTTTCACATGCTTTAGCCTGATAACTCACCACCCACACACAAACACAATAGACTTTGTGGTATCTATTTTCAATGTTTGTGTGCATATTAATACAATTAATAATTCTACCGTGTGATCTTGGTGGTAAACCTTGCATATGGATCTGCTTCATTTACTAAAGATATACATATTTGCTTTTTCATATTAAAGTTCATTCACTTTGAACTCGTTGGTTATGATTGCGAGTCATTTTATACATTGGATTTCCTCTTGGTTTTCTAACAGGAAGTGGAAAAGGCATTTACCTTTTGGGGCACTCGAGAAGGTGATGCGGTTCACCCTGCCGAGTGCATGGAGCAATTACTTGAGAAAGTTAGACGTCATAGAGTTAATATTGATGGTAATGTTTGTACTGTCATCGTGACCACCTTGGTTCTGGAGGTAATTCTTTGTTATATACCACTATAATTGAGGTTATGTTTATTTTGTGATTCACATGCATGGGAAACACTGGTGAAAGCATAAATTAGATTTTATTTGACGTGTTTTTTTTCCCACAGTAAATCTACATTGGTAATTATTATTTTGCATTTGTTAATTTGAAATTTGAAGGGCTGGCAGCGCAAGCTTGATCCTGGGTATAATGTGATGGAGGCACTGCAGACATTGCTGATTAGAGCTGATTGGGCAAAGTCTTTTGCATACACAATTGAAGGGATCATGGCTCCTTAAGGAAGGTTCTTTCTTGAGATTAGTAGGCATCCATTTGAAAATGTAGTACTATCCATTTGAAAATGTAGTTACAAAATAGGGTGATGTGACGAAATAGTCAATTTTGATTAGATGTCAGTGTAAATTAAATTTACACTGACATTGTATATCTTTTACATCATTACTTCTTTATTGAGGCTCTTAATAAGCAATTTTGAAAGGTAACCGAGGGAATTGGTCCCTTCTTTTGATTGTCTTTTCTAGAGTTACATACCCTGTAGTTATCTTTGTTAACTTCCCGCAGTTATTACTATGTGCTTGAGCATCACAGTTTACACGTAAAAGGTTAATAAAGAGATTCAATATGTGGGTCCTTATATTGTTAAGCATGCAGGAAAGCTTGATAAATAATTTATTTTGGTATATATGTGAAATATGATTTAGTCTCTATTTCAAAGCAAAAGAAGCCCTTAGGGATGGTTATAGCTACCGTGTTGGTGACGGTAGTTCCTTGTTCTGGTTTGATCTTTGAATATCTGACAATCCTCTATGTCATCAAGTGGATTTTGTGGCCAAGATATACAAACTAGAGTTAAGAACATTTTTATTGATGAGAAGTGGTGCCTTAATAATTTATACACTTCTTTAGCTCAACGTTTATCAGAAATGATTAGTAGCCAGCATCTTATTCTTAATGATGCCACTAAAGATTGTTTTATTTGGAATGTGATTATAGAGCGCAAATATACTGCTTCAGCGGGTTATAAGTGGTTAACAGCAAATAGAAGTGACTCAAAGCATGATCAATCTTGGTCTTGGATTTGAAAAATTCATGCCCCTCAAAAAACCATGTTTTTTCATTTGGTGTGTTTACTGTCAAGCCATTCCCACCCTCACTCTGCTTCATCACAGAGGTATGTCAGCTATTGTTTGAGGGATTGTCCTTTAGCTACTAGAATTTGGCATGCCATTGGGTTTACTAATATTAATTTCTTTTCCAATTCTAATGCTGCTATTTAGATCCAAGTTAACTACTCTAGTATCTGGTTCTTAGCTGGTTTGTTGGACACTAGTAGGTTGAAGTCGTGTTGTGGACAAAACAGTGTTTGGTTTAGGGTTATTGACTACAATATTTTGATCAGCTAGGACTAAGTTCTTAGGTGTTACATTGTGTCCTACATAACAATTTTGGATACTGACCTTGAAAACATTTTCAAATGTTGAGTAGTGGTTGTAGGTATGAGAGAACTAAAACCCTGAGAACTTTGTGGATCTGAAAAGAGAAACTCCTCTTCATTGAAAATAATATCTTTTGAGATAAAAGTTCTGCCCTTCATATTCATGCACTTGTGTCCTTTCTGAGTGGGTGATGCCCAGATAGACACATCTAGAACTCTTGAACAGCAACTTGAGTTGTTTGCACGGCCTAAGTGTGGATAGTAGACATAACCAAATATTTTTAGTGACTTGTGGTAAGGTTTTCTGGGATATACTGCATAGAATGGTGATATGGATTCAGGTAATGCATTTATGGGTAATTTGTTTTGTAGTTGCATGTTCCTAATACATTCAGGGGGATCACATCAATACAATTATTTTGTTGTTTGTCTTATCGCTTTCAGTTTGATTTACTTTTTGATTATTTGAATCTCCTTCATGATTGCATCTCTTTGAATTATGTTTTGAAATGATTCGTTTTTAGCATGCATTAACCGTTGGTTAGGTTTGATGTTGATCATGATACTTTTAATCAATTGCACGAGTCAGTGGAATAAAAGTCATATATGTTATTGATTCAAGTTAGGTGGAAATCAAAATCTCAGAAGTCTTTTGAAAATTTTGAAACATTGGGATTTTGAGTGTTTGATTCGAGTCAAGCACAAATCTTGATTCAAATCATTTTAAACATAGGCAAACTAGAAATTTTCAGACATTTTGATTCAAAATTTGAATCATACGTTTTTTTCCCACATTTTTTAGTTGGCTCGGCTTGTTAGATTCAAATCAAAATTAACACATGATTTGAATCACAGTGTCATTGATTCGAATCATACTTTTCTCTTGATTTGAATCAACTGAAAAATGGGTCAAAATTCTGTATTTCTTTTATTCCACTTCACTTGTTTATTTGATTCAAATCATGAAATGCTCTTGATTCGAATCTAATTAACTTTTTCAACTATTTTTAGTGCTTAATCTCAAATATATATAAAACCTTCTTGACATCATCTCTTAAGTAACGAATCAACAAAAACTGAGTTTGTTGATTAAATCGAGGAATCTAGTTTGCATGGAATCAATAGATTCTTTGGATTTTATATGAAATAGTTCAAACTCCTCTGTAAACATATTGATTTTATAATCTTTGACGTCATTTGTTCCCTCATAGAGAGTTTGGAGAACGTTCCACGTACCTTTAGCACTCGTATGATGTGTGAATTGAGTAGAATATTTTTGCGCTTAAAGCAGAGATAAGTATGTTCCTCGCTTTCAAATCATATGAAGTCTTTTTGGTCTCATCATCCGTCCAATCTTTAGGATGCTTAACAACATCATTATCACCCTTAGGGATAAATGGTTCTTCGATGACGACACACCATAAGTATTTGTCAACAGATAACAAATGTACATACATGTTTGCTTTTCAATAAATATAAATACATGTTTGCTTTTCAATAAATATAATTTTCCCAAAGTGCTCTATTATACACTCCTTTAGGATCATCACCGTCTGTTATATTCACAACTTTTGAATGTCGATTAGACACAATCAAAAGATCATCTCTTAATATCAATTGTGTGACAAAGGATATTTCGTAATTTTTGATACTTTTAGTTGTGTAGTTGATCATAATACAAGTAAAGACCTTGTGTTCAAGGATTTATGGGATTGAAAATGTTTATATGCTTGATGGACCACCAATTGCAAGAAAAGAATATGCAATCGTATGAATGAGAAGTACATACTTAGAGATTGATATATTACCTTTCTTACTCGTCTTCAGTTCTGATTTCAGTAGATGAACACGAGTTTTCATCAATGAATTGTAGTGTTTTTAACCTTGTCTCAAACCTCAAAGAAATTTTTGGAGGAAAGCACACAAGGTATAACTCCTTTAGATATTGTAGAAAGCAACCATGTAAGAAGTGATTGATCTTGAACGATCCAAGACTCATACATTTCGGAGAATATGTTGGCAATTTGATCTTGCTTAGTTTTGAATATTAGTGGATTTGAGGATTAACTACAACCTTATGGAGTTTTTGTGAAAATATTACGCCTTCTACCTGCTGATTTTATAACAAGAAATTGTTATCTTGCAACTTGACAGAAAATTTTAGTGTAAATGTATTTGAAGATTCTGAAAATTCAAATTGAGAAGTAGTGACTTGCTGTTGTACTGCTTGCGGCGATGATTTCACACCAAGATAAGCATTTGGTGATTGTTCTAGATCTACCATTGATGTTTCTTTGAAATTCTCAAACGTAGAAAAGACTTACCTACGAAAGAACTAAAACGCAAGCTTCTTTGAATCCTGTGCAGCTTCTAAGAAGCTTGAATATTCAACAATGGCGATGATTAGCGAGCTGTTGAAGATGATTATGCAGTGGAAATTGGATCTCTCTTAGGCAATGATAACATGTTAGAAATGAACAATGGTTCATTGAAAGATGAAGAGAGATGAAGAATGAGGAGCAAACAACTCTTGTTGTATATTGTACTTTGCACTACATTCATTTGTTAACCATACATTGCAAGCGTGATTACATTCTTATACTATAGTTTCAGCTTAAGTAGAAGTTAGTTATAAACCTTAACTAACTTTCTAACTATAGTAACTATCACTCTAACTGAAATATCTGCTTCAACAAACTATTATAACTAGTGTTCTCTAATAAGGGTCAAAACCAAACAAAAAAAGAAAACCTTAAAATGTACAACTGAAGTACTTGTAGAGAAAAAAAATGTAATGATGCGCTAACCACCTACTAAATCGAATTAATCATGTATTTAAGATGTCTTCAACAGAGTTGTGTGTTAAAAGAACAATATTAAATATATCATACAATCTACCATCGATTATACGTCGGTAACCATATATTTGAACTAAAATAAGAGGATTAGTAATGGTAAAATTAAGAATTCTACTAATTAATTACTAACTAAAGCTATTACATTTTAAATACCAAATAGTTCTAATAAATTATTTAGACTGCTGAGCCAATTACATTTGGAAGTGTTTAAGTAATAAAAAAATAATTTTTATTATTATAACTATTTAAGGGCACAACCTTGCCGCAATCGAATTGTCTAATAACTAAAATTCACTTTTTAAAAGGAAATATATAAATGAGATGTCACATATTCAAACTCGTGTCTTTCTGTCTAATATCCCTACACATTTATCATTTGAACTAAGACGACAATTCTTTTGAGCATTTATCTTGTGCCTCAATATAATTTCTGATTTATTAAGAGAATTTTTTAATCCACCTCTTGATATTCATACGCACCTCGCGAAATTCCTTTTATGCCTTCTGTTTTCAGAGATACACATTTGGGCGCATTTTTTTTTCCTTTATGTTGGATGCTTCCGGAGATGCATACATGAAAAAAGTTTCGGAGATGCAACTCCAGAATCTTATTATAACAAGTTTTAAAAAAAAATCAAGTTTTGTTGGTCGCATATAAAAATTAACTGTTGCAGATGAATATAAAATGATATACATCCGTAAATAAAATACTATGATATATATATATATATATATATATATATATATATATATATATATATATATATATATATATATATATATATATATATATATATATATATATATATATATATATATATATATATATATATATATATATATATATATATATATATATATATATATATATATATATATATATATATATATATATATATATAAAAGAAGTAATATGATACATCAATGTCATAAAAAATATAGTACATAAAAAAAAACATCACAGTCACTAATGTGTGTGCTTGAC